AGACTCGAAACAGGTGAACTACTTGACTAATTCCAGTACAGAACCTATAGGATGTTGCGCATGCGCGACTGAACGAATCACTCCCCGAGACGACTCGTTCTTCCCGAGTCACATTAAAGATTCGTTCAAAATGAATGAATCGTTCAAGAATGACCCAACACTACGTTACGTTGAATCAATGAAAGCAGTTGAATCTTCTGTTTATTCAGCTGCAGCAATAGGCATTTCCTGGATTACTTCTTCGGGGCAGATTTGGAGTTTCAGCGCGAGAGCGCCCTCTGGCCTTTGGATGGAGATTTACTGCTGATCACAGAACCGTGCTTCACTGAAAGATACGCATGACAATCGCAGTTTCTGTCGAATCGCGATCTCGATTCCATTTCGATTTATCGTGCAGCCCTAGATGCAACTATCCCGTGGTAACTAGGATTTAAACAAGCTTCAGTCTGGATCCAGAACACCTGAGAAGAAATGATGCCAACCCCTCAGAGGACCTCAGATGATGCCAACCCTGAAACAAAATACAGCACTACCATATTTTGATATAAGTTTGATTGCATCATATAATATTTGCTGTTAATAGTGTTCATCGTCTTTAATTTATTTTTCCGTACATTTCTGCCATATGTACATTAACTGACAGTCACCACTGATAAGCTACTACTAAATATATTGTAGAAACTTAATTTTCTGTAAAGTTGCTTTGCAATGATTTTTATAGTGAAAAGCGCTATACAAATAAACTTGAATTGAATTGAATTGAATTTAACTATATTCTGGAAATAAGCCCCAAAATGCACACTGAGCCTTCCCATATTTATATCCAGCTTTATGATGTCACAAGCCATAAAAGTCTGTTGATACCACTGATCTATATCTAATGTTCTATTTCCACTTTATTTTAGGTGGCCTTAACTACTATGTACTTACATAAAAAATGTACATGTAATAAGTACAATGTACTTACTGTGTTCATATTGTATTGCAAAATACTTCTGCTGCTATTGTAGTGGGATACGGGTAAGGTTAGAGACAGGTTTGGTGGTATGGATAGGTTTAAGGTGTAAGGGATGGGTCAACAGGGTAACTATAAATGTAATTACAGAAATTAATTACAGATGTAATTACATGCAGGTATTTAAAAAAAATATAAGTACAATGTAAAACATGTACACAATACATATATTGTATTAAATGATTAATTTAAATGTAAGTACATGGTTAAAACCACTTAATATAAAGTGGGACCAATGTTCTCTATTATAGATCAGTGGTTGATACCAAGGATGATAACTATTATGATAACTAAAAGGATATAGTTTTCAAAATAATTCTACACTTAAAACAATAGGGAAATCCACACTACAACTATAATGATGATGGCACAGGGGAACGATTGTAACGGAAGAGGTCTGACGCAACAGGTTAGTATATCAATCAAGTTTATTTTTGGTCACAGAGAGTACGGGTGTAGGATCCAGGTGATGACACGGTGAGTGTATAGTTCGTAGGACAGTTTAAAGGATATGATGAGTGGAATGATCAGAGTCCTTTCCTTTGCAGGAGCTGGAATGCACACAGGAAGAGCACACACCTCAGCGATCCAGGAACCAGGAAGATCAGGAGACACTTGGAGACGAGGAGACACTAGGAGGAACACAGGAGGTAAGTAATGCATGAAGTATTCAAATGGAAGCAGTAGTAAAGTCAGAGAGTCCTCTACGTCTGTACGAGACCGGACAATGAGGGTGTCTGAGGTGTGTGCTTTTATGCAGGCTGGTTGATGAGGTGCTTGATTAGTGACAGGTGCAGGTGCTCAGTACTCAGGTGATAGAGATCGTTGTGATTGGGTGGTGGTGGAGCCTGGCCGATCTGTTACAACGATATTGTTGGAATCACTTTTATAAGTATTTTTCCAGCTGATGAATGATAAAACATTGACAGCCAATCAGAATCCATCCTGTTTTAAAGAACTTGTGCATTTACAGCGGCAAACGACATAGGAGCAGTGCATACTTCAGTAGAATGATTACTAAAGGGTCGGTCACACTAAGGGCGATAAATATAACAATATCTAAAACTATACATTTTTAATAATTGTTCTAATTCTATTCAGTCAGAATCCACCTGACATTAAAGAGCTTATGGCAGAAGACAAAACTGCAGAACAGTATAATAAAAAAAACAATTTTTCTAAAAAAAACCATTATCATTGGTTTGGACGGTAATATAGTTGTTATATATATATATATATATATATATATATAATATTTATATAATATTTATAGCTATCATTCTTGGAGTGGATGAGCCTTTAGTCACATATAGTAAGTGGACATGGCAACACTGACCCTAATTCGAAACAAAATGTTAAATAGTCTTCCTTGAACAGAGCTGAAGAGCTGGATTTACCTTATGGTCTGAATGTATAGTATATAAATATGATGGCTAAATTATGTTTTTAAAGCAGGAAAGAACTTTAATACTTTATAAAGTTTCACTAGTTTTTCATTGTTTTGCAGGGAAGCGATGGACTGGCAAGGTGACTTCCTGCATGACCATGCATTTGTGGAGCTGCAGGTGGAAGGAATCCCCAGTGAGGTGGACATCCAAAACCTGATCAGAGACACAGAGGAGAAACTCAGACTTAACGCCTGCAGGTCAGTAGCCTAGAACAGTGTTTCCCAACCGGGGTGCCGCAGCACCCTGGGGCGTGCCATCTGTCGAGAGCAGGGGTGCAGTGTAAAAAAAAAAAGCAATTTATTTAATTCGAAGGCCTGTCGTTATTTTTTATTTGTGCTATCATTATTAATTTCTTTATTCGTTCTTGTTTTATTACTGACTGGTTACTTGTAATTTTTTATTCAATTCAAAGTTTGAAATCAAGCTATCTCGTGCTACTGCACCAAAATTACCCCACTGTAAAATTAAAAAAACACTGAGTGAGCAAAAATTTGTGAGATAGCTAGTTATAATGGTAATTAAATAATGTTTACATATGTATAAAAGCCTACATTAAAATCTGTCATATAAATTGGTCTCTTCATTAGAAATTAGCCTACTGATTGCCACCATTGATGGACAAATTTTTTTAATAATATTAAAAATATCTGTATTACATTATATTCTGCAGTTCTTCCCTGTTGTACCGAATATCTATACTTTTCAAATTATCATATCGAAGTTAGAAATTCAAATATTGTGACAAAATTAATTTTGTAGGGTGCCACAAGTTTGTTAAAATTTCCAAAGGGTGCCGTGACTAAAAAAAGGTTGGGAAACACTGGCCTAGAAGACTCACAAAAAAATCTTACCCTCCTCAAACTTTTGAATGATAGTGTAGATATTTGCGTTTGCAAGGCATAATAGCAGATGATGTTTGCTGTGATGTGCTGAACATTGTTGTTCTAGATGAAGATTTGTTGAAATTGATAAGGTGATTTGTGAATGGATTGAAATGGAAAAATGATCAACAAATCAGTAATGTTTTACACTATTAATCATTTTTAGGTCTGTGTGTTTGTATTTTACCATTGCATTCATACAGGACACAAACAATAGCAATGTTCCCTATTTTATAGAATAAAAGCTATTTCTATGCTCAATCCTGAGACGCTAAGAAAAAAATATGATTATGGATTGTCATTTACTGGTATACAGGGAATACAGCCCTTCATCTCAAACACATAAACACACATCTTGTAGGTTTTTAATGGACTGACCCATTCAAAATTAGACAGTCTCAGTTTTTTATTGATCCTCCATGTGCTTCAGTCTTAAAGGTGCTGGTTCTTTAGAAGATTATTGATCACCCTGATATAAAATGCATCAATATTTTAATATATATGACCAACAATATATGACCAAGGTGTTTGTACTACAAGGATACTGTATGAATTGCTACTCTCAGCACTGTTGGATGAGACATAAAATTGCATAGGCATATATATTAAGCACAAGGATTTTTTTGTCATGTAGGAGATGTAACTGCAGGGCGTTAGCAGTTGTTTAGTGCTTGAGTGGACATTGTATAGCACTTCATTTTCAGAGCTATTATTTCCACATAAGCTTCCTCCAGTGTTGGTAATCCTAACATTGAGACCACATGATTAATTGAGGATTGATGAATAGCACGCCACTTCATCTGAAATCAATGAAGCACAAGGATTTTTTTGTCATGTAGGAGATGTAACTGCAGGGCGTTAGCAGTTGTTTAGTGCTTGAGTGGACATTGTATAGCGCTTCATTTTCAGAGCTATTATTTCCACATAAGCTTCCTCGAGTGTCGGTAATCCTAACATTGAGACCACATGATTAATTGAGGATTGATGAATAGCACGCCACGTCATCTGAAATCAATGAACTTAAACACATTCTGAATGCAAGCTTGCAGCTAGACATCCTTTTTTCCATTTTGATGGAAGGTTTTGGCATTATTAGATATTGAGGTTTTGTTGTCGGCGAAGGACATGTTGACGAGCGCCCCTGAGCTTGTTTCTCTCGCTCTGTTTTAATTCGCAATCTTTTTATGCAGATAATGCACCTCAGATTCTCACTTGCATCGGTAGTTTTGGAGGACATGCTTCTCACGACTAGATTTCTGTTTGTTCTCCTGATCCTTCCCTGTCTACCCTCCCTGATGGCACCTCTTTCCATTGTGCCGCCGGTTTCGAAAAAATCTATCTCTGCCATGCTTTTATCCTTTATGTTGCTCTGAGGACACGCGCAGACCACAAGGGTCTACGCTAAATGTGTTGTGCGTGAACAAAGGCAGTCTTACTCCCCCCTGCCATTAGACACACGTTCTCATTCCTGTCTGTCCGGCCTCTCTCCTCTCCAAATGGGAAAGTAATAATTGAAGATTCCACATCTTGAAACGAAAACCCTTGTGTGGGTAATTCAAGGATTATTACTGAAGGCCGAGACAGTTTTTCTGCCTCTCTAAGCATTAAAGGGTTATTTTGTGTTCTTGGAGATAGATGGAAGATGGGGAACCATTATAAGAACAAAGAACCCGGATAATAGGGAATTGTGCATAGGAGAAAGAGAAAGGGAGGGTGGGAAGGGTATAGCTCCAGTGGTCAGTCGGACCCGAGCCAAAGTGGGTGACGACTTCGCCCTTTTCTGTGACCTCCTCTGGGGTGGGCCAAAGCTGTGCTCTACACCTGCTACCTAATCTACTTATCCTAGGACAAACCCAAGAAAAGAACGGGAAACTGGAGAATTCGCGGCTGCCTGCCTCGTTTCTCGGTCCTAACCCATTTACGGGTCAACGAGACGGGCCGCCTCCTCTCGGTTCTAGGATGTCGGAGATTTGCCTAAGAGCCGCTTCCTAATTGAAGGAGATTAAGATAGCCTGTCAAACAGCCTCGGATCTCCCAAATTGAAACGCTGTTATCCATTAAGCTTCATCAAATCGGACACTCAGGGAGGCCACCGGCAGTACGCCGGCCCCTAATGAAGTGTCAGCCATAGTCCAACGACGGGAGGCCAGGCTTCGGATTTCAACCCGGCTTATGGAAGATAGCCGCAGCGGCATGCCAATTTACCTCGTGTGTGCGTCCTGACAAATAACCCGTTGGGGGTTTGGCACCGGAGGAGGCTAAGCGGGCCAGATCTGCAGTCGGCGGGATCCACTTTCACGGGTCTCATTGGGTCCGGCATATTCAGGGAAAGAGAGGCCTTCTTTGATAGCTCCCAGATAGGCTATTTGTTTCCTGGGCACATGACTTGGTGCTCACTGAAGCTGGGGCTTATTTGAAAGAGATCTTTTCCTCTCCCTCCCTCTCACCCTGCTATTTCCTTCTCCGCTTCACTCTCCTGGAGCGCGACAGCCCACCCACACTAAATTAATTTTGACAAGGAACTTAAGATAACGTCAAAGCGCTGACTAATCAGTGTATTGGGTTTCTGTAAGGCAGAGAGCTGTGAAACATGCCATCATATTTAATAAAAGACTCCCGTTGCCTCTCTCTTTCTTTCTAGTCCTCTTGTTCAACCCCCCACCCTCTCGCTCTCTCTTTACCTGGTCTGTCATGTCTGGTTTGTGCGGATTTGAAAAACAATTACAGTTTCTGGAAGCATGATTGGCAGACAGGGAGGAAGCAGAGAATGAGGCTCAAGGGAGCTTTCGCTGTCTCTGCGCTCAGGGTTTTGTGGGGACTGAGCTGGGGAGTCTGGTCTCCCTGAAATTCCTTTCAACTTCTCCTTTTGTTGTTGTTTGATTTAAAGGGTAGATTAATCAGGATTTTTTTGTGCGCCTGTGAGGCTGTTGACGGTCTTTTTGGCTTTAGTCTGTGTGTTTCTGTGAGATGCTCTCTCTCTCGGAATGCCTCTGTTCTTTCTTTCTTGTTGTGTGTGGCTGTCCGAGTCAGTAGAAATCATGTTATTGGATCTGATTAATCTGGAGGGGGTTAGCACCCCTCTTCAAGTGAGGTCAGATGATAGGGCGCTTTGTCTTGACTTAATCTTCTTCACAGAAAGATATGTCTGTATACCTATATTTTTTTTATATGTATGTTGTATTTTTTGTATTGTTATGTACCTATAATTAGTTGTATGTAAGGCAAGGCAATAATTCATAGTTGTGAAATGTTCATATTCTTAGCTACATCGTTAAAGAGCAATGCATCAAAACAAATGAACGGTGCTTAATATCATATATTATATCATGTGTCATCAAGTATTATACTCTTTATACCATGAATGGGTAAATAGTAGTAAATATGGAGAAAAAAAAAAGATTGCATATGGTATAATAAGGCAGAGATTTTCAACTAGTGGACTGCAACAAACTATGCATTCATGCATAGTGAGGCTAGATGCTTCTCCTATAGTTTGTTAATATTTTAAATGAGTGAAATTACATAATATTTAATATTAAACATTTTTGTGTTTTGGATTTTTTTTTTAAGTTATTTTTTTATTTTATAAAATCAGCAATTTTGGTGCTGTGTTGGGTCGCAAATTGATGTCTGATGAAAAATCTGTTTTTGTTTGTTTTGTTTTACTTTGCTTTGACAGTGGTCTTGGTCTTTATACTGATACTTACTGGTATGGATGCAGCATAACCGGACAGTTTTCATCTCACAATGCTACTGTAGACTTTGCCATATACGCAAATGTAGTCAACTATGATTAGTATCCAATAAAAGGCGAGTTCCCAATGTGGCAGCGATCATGAGAGGGAAGTAAACCGCTTGTTCTAGGATGATTGGAGTTTAAAACATTTTCTAAAATAATATTTAGGAGGGAAAAATAGAATGCTTTATATATGCAGACTTTATTAAAAGTGTTACCAAAAGTTTCCCAAAAGCTCATTTATTCTGATTGTATTTATATTTTTAGAAAAAAACTTTCACATGAATTTTCAATTCATTTTGAACCCATCTGTGATAATCTATTCATATGTGAAGCATATCCCTTAAATATTTATTGTTGCAATGTGAAACTCTGGCACATCATCAGTGGCAGCCGGGCAGAAGTTTGACAGCAGCTGCCCCTTTGATTGATGCCAGTCCTCGTGAGTGCTAAGACCAACACTGTCCGTGACTCGCCTTCAGTGATCGCTGACCCCATCCAGTGCCGATACACAGAGGATTACGCAGGCGTTGGTGAATGGCAGAAGTGTGTGCGGATGAGAGATGGGACTTTTATGAAGTTTTAGCATTGTGTGACTGCACAGATGGAAGCTCGTTTAGACCCTGCTGTTTGAGCAGAGTCCTGGGGTGACGCCTGGCTCAGCACCGGCTCTGAGCACAAATCCTTATTTTATTAGAAACATTAAACAGACTTAGTCAGTATATCTGCCTTTCTGCTAGCTCTGGATGGCTACACTTAACTAATGTAGAAGAGCTAAGCTGAGCGATATCCTTGAGTTAACAATGTTCACAGAAAACACAGAGTAGCAAATGATTGTCATTAACATGTTCAGAACACCCTATAAAGAGAATAGTTCACACAAAACTTCTAAAAATATACCAAACTGGTAAAACAAACTCTAAAACTCTGCACATTTAAATACAATTTGGCTGCTTTCGTTAACGCGTAGACTATAAGCGGAAAAGGGCAGTTTTGTTTGTGTCTGTGTCGACAGCATCTTTAGTGTGTAAAACAGAATTTTTATGTTCCCTTTTAGCGCTTGTGTTTTTACAGCGAGCTTTAGGCTGTTCATTAAACAGAAAGGGAAGATTTGCTTTTCCAGCACGGTCTGTCAGCACCTTCATGTCCTCTCGTCACACATATTTCCTTTTTACTACAAAAAGAGACACATTTGTTGGATTCCTGTCGGCAACCTTGCATTTTAACCAACGAAAAGAGCCCTCTTCATCTTTGCTTTCTACATTATTTAGCTGCATGTCGTTAAAATTAACAGCCCTTTTATGTTCACTTTATGTTTGCTCTCTTTTTTTGAGGAAGTAAAACTGTGTCAGGTTTAAATGGAATTTAATAAGCTGCCATTCGAAGGCATCTGGACTCATGCATAGCCGTAGTGTTTACAGCAGTCAGTGGTTTATGTCGCTTTGTAAGAGTGTGTTTCAGCTGCCGTGTGTGTGCGTATGTACCTGTATGGCTTTACGGCTTTGTGTCATGTCTCATTTTTCACGGATAGAAGGAGACAGAAGTGCTGATGCCGTGTGGTTATGAGGAAGATCGTCTCATCCTGTATCGTTGAGAGAGATGTGCCACATGCCGAAACACGCACACACAACTGATATATTGATGTCTGTGTTCATTAGCCCCGATGTGGCTGATATCAGCTGTAGAGTGACGGTAACCGGAGTCTACTTGAGTTTAAGGGACAGCTCGCGTGTAACACATTGTGAGGGTGTATAAAAATTATTTCAGCGCTAAAAGTTCATTGTAATTCAACTGCGCAATATGAAGTCAGACAAAGATTTTTTAAACAGGATGTCCATGTTGTGTCTATTTTTCTTTGGCATTTTATTGATAGAAGAAGTGGATCACACAAAGCAGGCAGTTTTCAAACTTCAGAATGTGTAGGAACCACAGCTGTAATTGCTCCAGCAGAGCCCCATGAAAAATGCTTCATATTTGAGCAGAATTTGAATGTGTGTCATTAACAAAATGATGCACATCCATCTCTCATTGTGTCTTTTTATTAGATATTGTTGGCTATATGTTCATGCATTCAGGTATCATTGAGAATGCAACCCTCTCTGCTCTGTTTAACACATTTTACCATGTTTTTAATTCTCAGCCTTTTCTGTACACTGATGCCACGTGGCCATTATGTATGTATGTATGTATGTATGTATGTGGGGCAAGTAAAAATCTGAACTACTGACATAAATGAGTCTGCAGAACAAATCTTTGAACCCTGGGTCATGACTATTTTAATATTCCTGTAAGTTGATTTAGTGCCTTTAAGATAGTAAATTGTGACAGTGGACAGTAAATCACTGACATTGAAGAAATGTATGCAGAGTTTGTACCCCTTCTTGAGAGTGTGTGCTTCCTTTTATTATAGTATTGAACAGAACCTGAAGGAACTGCAGGCCAAGGTTGGTGAGGCCAGTAGCGGAGAGAGAGTTCCCAGTCCAATAGAATGCCTCCAGTGGTTCAGTCAGCGCAACTTGAGCATCCTGAAACCAGTGGCTACGGGACACCAAGAGCTTCTGGACTTCCTTCGAGCCTTGGTGATCAAAACCATACTTAACTCCAAATGAAATCTGTCCAACAGACATCATCATGACATGTTGAGGAATAGTATTGATTCCACATTATTAATTCTCTCTGTCATATTTTAACAGCAAAACTCGCTAAAGGCAGAGGACGCTTTTGAAGAGGCTATTCTACATTTACTACTGAACATCTCTACTCAATGTGGTGTTGCTTTCCCTACTTCCTGCCCTGCATCTAGCGAAGAGCATTCCTCATCTCCTAACTTATCCATGCCACGTGATGACCTTGCTCTGGAAGTCCAGAAGGCATGGGATAATGTTCGTTTCTCATTGCGGAGCCACTTACTTGGCAAACTCCAGATGATGACTGAACCAAGCCAGACTGAGGGAGAACTGGGTGTTGGGACCAAGGTTCCTCAGAAGATCTTCTACCTTCAGCAACTGTTATTCCTCTACCCTGAAACAAAGGTCTTCAGCTGGTACCAGCACCTTCAGATCAAGGCCGTCCTCAGTGTTCTCCGAAACTGCCAGAGCTGCATCCCAGGTGGGGAGAAGGGCTTCGACAGACTGACTCTGGGCTTTCAAACCGCCTCTCCAACTCTTTGCTCAATGCTTCAAGAGGAAATTCATGTGCTTAATGGAGTTGCAGAACCACATAACATCATTGCCTTCCTCAACCATGTCTACCTGAACACAGTGGCACAGGAACTAGGTGTGCTGATGGACAAGGAGATCGAGACCGCACTGAAAGACAACACCATGCACAGCATGAAAGGAGGCAAGATGTCCAGCAAGAAGTCTGCTGTAGGTCAGTATCTTCATACTCTTCTATTCATTTTGCACATAAAACTGGAAGTAATTAAAATTGGTTTATAAGTTGAAACTGCCAGTTCTTATCTGTTTGGCTGACCGCTACAGTACCGAAAAGTTGTTGTTATTATTGACGTTGTTTACACAGTTTAATGTCTCAGTGTGCTTTGAAATGAAATAATAGAACAAATAAACAATTGGAGAATCAACTTTTTGACTTAGAGTAGCACCCTTGGCAGAAATAATAGCTGAACACACTCATTTTTTTAAATGAAAATCAAATTCTGTTCGTAAAGTTTTTCCAAACACTGATGCAGAAGTTTCCACAAATGTGTTGCACTTGTAGGTTTCTTTGCTTTCACCCTTCTGTCCAGTTCATCCCAAACCAACTCGATAGGGTTTAAGTCTGGAGACTGTGCTGACCATTCCCTGATTTGAAGCCTTTACTTCTGAGGTAGTTCTAACATAGCCTGGAGGTATGTTGTGGGTCATTATCTAGCTGTAGGGTGAACCCCTGACCAACTCAGTGTATACCAGAGGGTATTGCATGGCTTCAAAATGCTGTGGTAGTCTTTTTGGTGCAGGGTTCCAGGGTGCCACTCACTCTTGAACTGGAGATTTCAGTAGTCCACTAGCAGTAAACCTCTTTTTTTTATTCAAAAGATGGAGGTGCTCTACAACTTTTGACTGGTAGAGTATGTGATTTCCCTGTGAAAAAGAGCCGTTTGCTGCATAAAGTTTGCTTGGTTTGGGGCTTCAAATCTTTGAAAGATATTTATATTTTTGTTTGAGATGCTTGCAAGCTAATGATAACTCAGCACATTGCACCAGTGTTTACAAAAACTTTCCAAACAATTTTTGATTTCCATTTTTTTTTTCATACAAATAATTAAACAGAACTGTTAAATTAATGAAAATGGACAATCTGTGTCTTGAGTTGACTGAATCATTGTACATAACACTCTCAACACGGTCAGAATAAAAATCCTCTTCCGACACTTACTGGCCAAACGGAAAAAAAAACGTATTGGCTGGTATCAATTATTTTTAAGCGTTAGTATTCTTAGCATTGGCAGAAGTGTGTTTAAGGTGCTAGCGTTCTTGGCAGTGTCAAAATAAAATTGCTGGAACTGTCAGAATAAAAGTCCTCTTCCGACACTTGTTGGCCAGACAGAAAAAATGTATCGTCCAATACCAAAAAAAAAAAATGTGTTGGTTGATCACTATACCTAAACCTAAGCTTCATGTGAAAAAGCAAACTGTGGTTGTGTGCAGCTGTTTCTGGGGCCTTTTTTGTCTGGAATAAACTGCAAAGTGAATCAGACTTCATGCTGATAACCAAATGTCTAGCTACATGAAACTAGTACTATATGTGACCCTGGACCACAAAACCAGTCATAAGGGTCATGTTTTGGAAATTGAGATTTTATACATCATCTTTCCATAATTTTTCCAAATAAGCTTTCCGTTGATGTATGGTTTGGTAGGATTGGACAGTATTTGGCCAAGATACAATTATTTGAAAATCTGGAATCTGAGGGTGCAAATAAATCAAAATATTGAGAAAATTGTCTTTAAAGTTGTCCAAATTAAGTCCTTAGCAATGCAT